GCAATGAAAATCCTACTACAGCTTCCTGTAGAGGAATTTATCTCAAATGTGTGTTCTGTGTACCAAACCAGCACAGTTCACTATTGCTATGACAGTCAAAGTGGCCCAGAGAGAAGGAAGACTGATCTTTAGCTAAGTGTTTATCTTGGAAAGCAGAGATCAATGTTTCAGCACCTTCACTAGGACACATTTAGGTATTTTGCATGAGTCAGGCACTGGATGACATGTACACATAGCCAAGGGTTGTCATCGGGACACCAATCTCCTCTTGCCCGGGAAAAGGACCATGTCATAGTTGCTCCACGGCTCAGTGAATTCTGAATTTGTCTTACACCAAGAGAGACAACTTCAGTGGGTGAATGTGTACTCCCCTTGCTCTTGAAAAAGAGAATAATCTGGTGTTTGGGCGGGTCTCCCAGAAGATGGGATTTTATGGCCCTGAAGACAGAGGAGGGACTGGACTCTCATCACCAACACTGCTGGGTTTGTACATTAACTGTCCAGCTATCATTTAACAGGTAAGAAAACAACAAGCCCACTTTCAGGGGCATTTGCAAAGGAAGATGGTAGCTGCTATTTGCTGCACTGATCCTGCTCTGGGAAGTAGCTGAGCTCTTCAAGGAAGCCTGGGAAGAAACATTTACCTGGCAATTCCCTGTTCCCACCTGGTTGTGAGCACCAAGGTGCATAGGAAAACAACTGCCCCCAAGTTGAGCTGACACTAAAGGACCAGTGCCATTGTGTGGCATTGAGAGGATCACAGTACAGGATTCTGTGCTTACCATTCCACTAAGATGGTACTCCAGGTGGTTAAGATCTGAACCCAAAGCATGGTCACAATGAAAGAGAAATGCTGGGTCAACCAGAGCTCTCAGGGGGTCCTATGCTTGGGCCAGATGATCTTTCCTCTACCCTCTAGGACCAGGTCCTTTGGCCAAGGCTGGGGGACTTCCACATTTATTTTCCATGTGTTTGTTGCGTAACAATGGGAGACAGAGCACTACTTAGGCTGAGGCTCACTGGCCATCCAGCGTCGGGAAATCCCTGTGGTGGGAGCAGATCAGAGCCAGGTGAGGAACACACAGCAGAAGCACAGCTTTAAACACGTTGTTTGCTAGCTGCTGGTGCCAAGAGCTCCGGGTAAACCGCGGAGCTGCCAACTGGCAGCAGGGGGCAGCTGCATTCCTCCCGTGGGTTTTAAGAAACTAACCTTACAAGTACTAATTGATGTGAGCATACCGACAGGGTAGTTATTCTGGTGCCTTTGGGCTTAAGTGCACTGATACTCCGTGCATCCTGCCTGTGCCTTCCCGTGCTTCCACCCATCTCAGGGGGTGAGGGTCTTCTCCCCCGGGGCAGCACTGACTGTGCCCGTTAACTGCTCTTTATTTCTGTGCCGTGACATGGGGCTGCCAGCCGAAACCACAGCCTGCGTACGAACTGGACCTGCGCTTGCAAAGCAGCGCGGTGAGTGCCATCTACTGATAATTAACCACGCAGCAGCGCAGCGGGAGAGGCCGGCTCAGGCAGCGACTCTGCGATAACATCGCAGCCGGCACGGACGGCACTGCTCTGCATGGCTGCCAGCTCCGTGACATTACGGAGTCGTGGCAGCACCCTACTCGCAGGCTGCCAGGGCTGGCTTCTGCTGCAAGGTCGTGTCTTGAAGCTTCATCAAGCATCATTTCTTCAGAGACGTGCTGGGTGTTTTTGAAGCTGTGCTGATCTTTGCTGCAGTCTTCTGGGAAAATAAAAAATCTTTGGCAGGATTAGGCTTTACAGAATATAAATGACCATTAATAAATTTTTAGTGTTAATGTAAGTGCTTGTATCAACTGGAAGCTGAATCGTTTAATCAGGCTAGCAGCAATTAAAATGGTAATTTTTTTCTGTACTAGATTCTGCTTGCAATTTTTACTCAAGTAAAACTCTTTGAAGTTAATTGGAATTTTGATTAAAGCCTCCTGGATCTGGGTCTCTGAATTTGTACTAAGGAAGGTTCAATATTTGCTTTGGTTTTCTGCACATGGAGTTCACTGCTATATATTAGTGTGACTGTACAATTAGTGGTAACAAGAACAACTCCAATAAAGATTTCTGTAATCTAGTTCTTGATATACTTCAGAAAAAGTCTTTTATCACAGAATAGCTTTTAAAGTACTGCTAAAACAGGCTGTAAGATCTGAAAAACTTGATTGATTAAACTGTTTGTCTTAATTATTTCCCATGAATGGCTTAGTAACATTCACTTAATGGTATTTCAGAACTTGGAATGGGGTGGGAGGAACGGAGATGTTCTTGCTCTTCGCCTTCAGGGTTCAGGTTTTTGTTGCCAAAGCAAAAGAAAAAAATCTACTTAAATTACATTATAACTATTAGTAAAATGATAAGTAACTGTGGTGTAATAGCTTTAAAAAATAACGTTTTTGTCCAAAATATTGCCAAAAAAACCCAAACCAAATACTCTGCCAAAAATTAAAAAAAAAAAAAATCCAAACAAAACCCTCACAAAACCCTGACCAGATTGGCATGAGGCATTTTGTGAAAAGTACAAACCCCAAACAGCGTGTTCTGGTACTAAAGACACTCGAAGGGCCAGGGGAGTGTGGTCACCATAGCAGTCGTGACTCACGCTGGTTTCACTGCAGCCAGTACAGCCACTTGGGAGAATAAGGCCTCCGTGAAGGAGGAAGACTTGAATGGAAAAACTCCCCAGCAAACAAGGAATACTTATTTTTGTTGTGTTATGGGATTTGCCTGGAAGTTTGCTGCACGCTGACGTAATTTTGTGGACACATTTCATCCCTTATCCTTCCACACACAGGAGTGCTTTTCTGAAAGCTGCGACATAACTGGTGCAAATATTGCTTAAACTTCACTTAGGTCGGTTGCTGGTGTGGCAAAAGCAGAAAGAAAGAAGGGAATAATCAGGTGGAAATTGTACTGATAACACCAAGCATGTGGGTTCTTATTGTGTATCTCTGTTTATAATATATATATTATATTATGACTTGTGATCAAAATGCAGGACAATCTGTTTTGAGAATTCCTTTGGTAACTATTAATAAATGTTCTTAAATATATATGTATATATATACACATATATTCTTGATCTTAAAGAGACATATATTAAAAAATGAGTTGTAAATATCCTAGACTAAGAAGTGCAACAGTTTATCACTAATTTAAATAATAATAACTCTGAAAATTTGTTGTGACTGTGGTTTTTATTTGTTTATTTTATTTCATTCTAATGTGGTCATTGGAGCACAGTTTCTTCCATTTTCCAGTTTTACGTTGCAGCAGGCGGATTCACGTGTGAGGAAAACAAATAAAAACAGATCCTTGCAATTCAGAGAAATGTTCTGATTTTCTTTTGTCTCTACTTTTTCTGAAGATCTTAATTTTGAGAAACAAAGAAAATTTTAAGTATTTTTCTCTATTTCCTCTAAAACACAAGTAATATGAGAAAGGAAGGATTAAAAAGAAGATCAAAGATTTTATTATTAATTTTGCAAAACAGTATAAAATTCTTGAATATTCAACAGCTATGCTATTACAGTACCAAAACCATGTTATAAACTGCTAGTTCTGCTTAACGGTTATCCCAAGGGTCGTGATTTCCTCACGGTGGATTTTGAGTTCTTAAATGGCTGCAGCAAGTATAAGCACCCTACCAGTTACTCCATCCACACCTGTGGACACAGTATGTTGTGCGAAAACGAACACTTTCAAACTAAATGACTAAAATTAACACACTTACTATATAATATTTGCCATTTGTACAGTCAGGTTCACCCCATCTCAGACTTTGCATAGGAACAGCACCCAGTGGTACGCAGTCACAGTGGAGGAGCAAGTGAGCACACTCCTGGGAGAATGGTAGCTACTTATGTAGAAATAAGTCCCTGCTCTGATGTAGAAAATGTCCTAGGAGACTTTAAAAAAACCCATCTATTGTTTAAAGCAGTGATTGGGAAGCAAATGCACATTTCTGCATAGCAGATTCATGCACAAGAAAGCCTGAACACCTAACGGGTGTGAATGTCTGCTCATGATATCCCTGTTTTCATGTGCCCTACCCAAGATAGCCTTGGCCACCTTGAAGAGGTGGCCTGAGGTCCTGCTCATGCCATGAAACTAAAAGGTAAGGTATAACACATATAGAGCCCCTCAGCATTTGTAGAGGTCCACAGGCACCCCCAGGACTCTGGGCGTGTCATCAGCTGGACCGATGCAGCTGGATCAACACTGAAACCAGGACTGGTGATTTTTCTCTTTTCTTTCTCTTTATTCTCTTTCTTTCTCCCTCTTCTCTTTTGTTCTCTCTCTTCTTTTTCTTTCTCTCTTCTCTCTTTCCTTCTTTCTATTCCTTTTCTTTGCTGCCTTCCTTCTTTCACTCTCCCCCCTCTTTAATTCGTCTCTTCTCTCTTCCTTTCCCTCTTACCCTTTTATCCATAACCCACTGCCGTGTGCTTACACAGTAGGTCAGGGGACTAACGTAATGATTTCCAAGTGTGTAATTTAACAATAAAACTTTCCGATTGCTGGCGGGCCCTCCGGCTCTCGCCGTCCCTTTCGGCCGCGAGCACTTATGAACCTTGGGGGCTCCCCCCTTCCCCTTCGGGGTGGGCCGTCCAGGCACCTCGCGGCGAAGCACCTGCAGCGGGTGCCGGGGCAGGGGAGCCCCGCCGTGTTCCTGCCTTAGCGCTGCTCCCGCCCCGCACTCTGCCAGCCACCGCTCCCCGACCCGCCGGCACGCGACCGCCGGTGCCCGTGTTCCTGTGGAAAACGCCCGCAAATGCCACCGCTCCGCCGCGGCGGCGGAGGGCAGCCCTCCCTCACGGCGCTCCCCGGGGCCGGAGGAGGAGAAGGAGGAGGAGGAGGAGGGGGGCGGGAACGGCGCCTCAGGCGCTTCCCGCCGCGGCCTCGCGCACCGCCTCCCTCCCTGCCCCCCGCTCCCGCCCCCTCGCGCGCGCGCCGCGGAAAACGTTGCGCAGGTTCTAAAGCGGCGGCGGGGGCGCGGCCGCGCGCGAGGGGGCGTGTGAGGGGGAGCGGCGGGGAACGGCCGCCGCCGCCGCCGCCGCAGACACAGCCGCAGGCACAGCCCGCCGCCGTCCCTCCCGCCGCATGGAGCTGTCGGCCATCGGCGAGCAGGTGTTCGCGGTGGAGAGCATCCGCAAGAAGCGCGTGCGGAAGGTGGGCAGCGGCGGGGCGGGGCGGGGGGAGCGCACCGGGACATACCCCCCGCCCCTCCCGCCGCGCACCGGGAGGGGGGCGTGGTGGGCGCGCGCGCGGCCGGCTGGTCCCCGTCCCTGTCCCCGCCACGTTCCCCACCCCCGCCGCGGGGACACCGGCACCTGCCCGGGGACACCGGCACCTGCCCGGGGACACCGGCACCTGCCCGGGGCCGGCCAGCGGGGGACACACGTGTTGGCTCGGGGGTCTCCGGGGCGGAGGGGGAGCTGCCCCTGCGGGGGGTGCAGCCTCTCCGGGATGAGCGCTGCCGACACCAGACGGAAGAGCCCGAACCGGGGGGCGTTTGGGAAGGCTCCCGTGACTCCGTTTTCCCGGCCGTGGAAGCCCTCCCGGTCCGGCAGGGTGTTGCAAGGATGAACCTGTAGGCATGCAGTGTGTAGAGATCTTCCGGTGGAAAGTTCCTTATAGGGCAGTGTTTTCCAGTCTTGGGAGGCTGATGAACGAACCCCCCCCACGAGGAGAACGAAACCGGTTCTTTGGGTCAAGTACCCGAGCGCTTTCTTTGCTGTGCTCTCCTATAAAGGTGTCTGCAGCTGCAGCAGTGCCTCTTGGAGAGTGGTCGTCCTGCACGCACCAAGGCCTTTGCCATGCTTTGGGAAGTGCTTAACAAACCACTCAGCGTAACATTAAACATTCTGATAGTTGTACACGTTGCTCACTGAGCCCTTGAGCACGGTTTCCAATCACTGCAGGTTTTTTTACTTTTTGTTTTTAAATCTTGTGCTTAGAGTGAGCAAGTAAATGGATAACTCTGAACTTCAGCTGTGAGCTAGGGTCGAAAAGATGAGTGCCTGCGATGGATGGAACAGGGTTTGAGTAGAGCGTGTAGCAAATGGAAAGAAACATGCCAGAGATGCTTCATAGGTTCTGAAATACTGTGTTTCTCCTCTGTGCTTAAAAAAAATTCATCTGACACTTGCTTCTGGCATACATCTGCCTCTTGCATTTATGCCTGCTGACTTCTTGTAGGATTGCCTGTAAATGTGGGAACGGTTCTGTCTTACTCTCTGGCTGACTTTTAGTGTTCTGCCTGCAAGACTTCTGCAAAGCTGTGCTCCAAGCTGATGGGAGTGCAAGCATGCTTAAACACCGCCGCGTTCTGGGGAAGAAGGTATAGCAAGTGTAGTTGAATGAGGAAGTGTCTTTGTTTTGAAAGTAAAGCGATGGGAAATGAGCTTTTTGGTTGCAGAATTCAGTCCCATTGATTGGTTGCATTTCATACTGTAGCCTGTATTTTGTTGCAGAGTTCATCTGTTTTCTTCTTCCTTTTTCCACCCTCAGGGGAAAGTAGAATACTTGGTGAAGTGGAAAGGATGGCCCCCAAAGTAAGTTGTGTTTGTCTTTTTTGTCTTTAATATTCGGCAATAGCTTGCACTGTGTCTCTGCAATTGAGCATCTCATTCATGATGGGTAATTGCTTGTGCCTCATTTCAACACCAATAAACAGAACGAAAGAGCCACAAACCAAACCCAAATCTGTTTGTGAATTGGCAGCTAAGGAATACAAACTGCATGCCAGTCTATTCAGACTGGTTTTTGCCACCACTGAAATATTTCATTGAGATACTTTCTAGATACAAATGTTTTTAAATTCATTATGAGTTCAACAAAGAACCCAGATTCTTCTGAACTTGGAATGGCTCCTGCTTTTCTGAGTCAGCACCAAGAGGACCCCACTTTATTTTTAGAGCTGTCTGAAGTCTTTTAAAATAGAATACATGTTGATGGTCTTGTCTTGTTGTCCTACTGCTTCCCTTCTGCAGTTCACCAACGGAAAGGGGCAATGTTTCAAATTTATTGATTGTAGCCAAATGCAGGTGATCTTTGCCCCTTGAAAATTACCACCGTGCCTTCATTTCCTTGTCTGAAACCTTCTGTTTTTATGAGTGCCTTTTCTGCTTTTACTTTGGTTGCTGCATTGCAAAAAGGGGGGAAAAAAGGCATTTTTTACAGCATTGCTGTGCACTGTTTACAGATACTTCTCTTATTCAAACGCAGCTGCCTCTGAAGAAGAGTGATTGGTCTGTGCTTAAACAGTCTGTAAAATGCTTTGAGATTAGAAAGATTAAGTAACTGGAGAATATTACTATGTCAGCTAGCAGTCTAGTGGAAAAGCCTCCTGGCCAACCCATATGGGGCCCTGTTTTTGCTTTTCTGTTTGTGACTGTGTTTGTACATACACAGCGTGGGTGGGTACAACAGCGTTACACATGCAGTTGCTCTGTGTGTTGCTAAGCAAAGGGGGCCGCTTGTTACGGGTTCATCCTCACAGCTGCAAAGCGGGGCCCACTAGGACGGTTCTGACAAGTTGTACCTGGTGTCCAAGAAGCTGAAACATGTTCCTACATGCCCAGTCCATGTGCCTAATCCTTATGCTTATAGGGCACATGTCAATACAAGCAACTTCCCCTCTCTGGTGGTGGTGGGAGAGGGTGACTTTATTCTTGACTCTAAGTCCTGCTGTCCAAGTAACCTTGTGCACTTGTTGAGCACCAGCTGCCATGTAGCGCGGGTCACTTCTTGGACTGCTTCAGCCTTAAGGAGCCAAGTCTTATTTAATTGCTGATAGAGGGTGGGACATGTATTTGGAGCCTGTGAGGCCCCATTCCCTTCTGGCCAGAATACTGATGTTTATCCCATTCTCCTTTGAACAAACGTATTGAGGTCCTTCTCTCGTAAAGTCCCTTGCCAAGAAGGTGGGCTGAGGCATGGTGTAATGTTTCCTTGGACAGAGCAGCCTTTATTCTTAACTGCTGCCTTTCCTTGTCGTGCATCTTGGAACCCTGGGGGACACAGAAACTCTTCTGGGAATTTCAAGCACAGCTCCTCAAGGAGCAAAGTGATGTCAGGGTTCCCTACTTTTGATACTGTTACATGCCCTAGCACCTTCCCACTTTTCCCAGACTCCAAATCTGAAGAGCACTGACTTTTATTCTTTCCCCCTGTCCCCTCCATTTTAACTATTCACTCAATGGTTTGAGTTATTAAAACCAAGATTCTCAGAGCACTGAAGTCACTTTCATCCCACTAGCAGTCTCTGTTCCTTGTTTCTAAACTTACATATGCCCGGCATAGCATGCAGCACCACAAGCTGTTTGCACCTTTTTGTCTGTTTGCTCATCCCACGTCCTGTTTCTCTTCGTTCCCCTCCCTAACCTTGTTGCATTGCTCTTTGTAATCTCTCTACCTATTATCCCATCATTCCCATTGGAAGCATCATACAGGGAAATAAGGATAAGTCAGTAGTTTACTGCTTTCTCATGTAATTCATATTTCACTTTTTTCCCTCTCTTTTTAATAAAAAATTCTTGTTCATGCCCTGCACCTCAGATTTCTGGATTGCACTGTTGGAGTGAGGGAATGGAGGAGTGACAACCTGATTCTAGCTACAAGCTTGTTTACAACTTGTCTTGGAGTTAAGAGGGGAGGGGGAAGAGGAGGAGTAGAAGGAGGGGGAAGGAAGATCATATGATCTATGTTTTCCAGAGTGCCTGCTCTCTGCAGTTTGCTGCAGCCTGGGCTGTGTGTACCCATATATAAAGCTCTGTGTGCGCGCGCGCGTGGCAAATTCAACCATGTTTTTTTTTAAATGCAGTGTTTTGCTACTGCAGCGAAGCCAGAATCTGAACTGCAGAGAAAACGGCAACACCCACCAGGGGTTTTTTATAAGCAAATCCCCTTTCTTCTCCTGCCTGTGAAAAGCAATCTGATGACTTTTTTCCCCTCTCGTGCTGTTATTTTTCTTAAATTTGTAGGATGAGTGCCAGAATCCCTGCAGCTGGGAGGAAACCTTCCTCTTTTCAAACATCATCTTGGCTTTGACAGCTCACAGTCAGGTTGCTGCAGGAGGCATGAGCAAAGGAGGGAGGGAGGGAGAGAGAGATCAGCTGGTTATGAAGACATGTCTGCTCTTAACTCTCTGATGTTCAGTGCACTTTGGAATATCTGAATTTCATATTTTTGTTTCTCCCATTTGTAAAAGAATTGTATTTTCATTTCTAGACCCGTTCTCCAGGAATGCTCCTGTTTTTCAGTCCCATTCTTCTCTCTAATAGAGAGATGAAAGGGAAAAGCATTCCTAAACCACCTCCCCCGTGTACATTTGGGCATGTATCGTGTGCTCTCATGTGCAGCCTGTGCTTCATCCAGAAATGTAAACGTCCTGAAATACTTTCTCGCTTTCAAAGGCACTGATACAAATGCACCTTTGCACACCTGCGAGTGACCCCTCTCTGGTCCTCCTTCCCAGGGTCTGGGAGGGGCTCTGCCTCCAGGCCTGGACCTCACATTCCAGGAAAATTAGTGTTCTGAGGCATTTGGGGTTTCAGACTTGCCTTCTTGCCTTAGAGTTTGTACAGTAAAGACATGCCACCCACCTTTTCTGCACAAGCATGACGTCTTAGGAGCAAACATGCTACAAGGATCACCTTATGATCCTTTCAGCTTCCACAGTGGGAATTTTTGGCTGCCTCTCCCTGGTGTTAAGTGCAGGTGTGCTCTTTGGCAACCAGTTTTGGAGTTGCCTGCTGGATGGGTTGAGTCCTTTCCTGAGATCTGGCTCTTGTCACAGCTGTCTGGCTATCGAGGACGGAGCTGGGGCAGCGAGTGACGCTGTTCACAGGCTACTGTTTGGAGCAGTGCTGGTGGCCCTGCCCGCAGTGCAGATGGTTCCTCCTGCGCCGATGAGCTCTGTTCCATAGGAACAACCCGCAGGGGGAGCCGAGCGGAAGGAGGAGGCATTGGCAAGTGGCCATCAGCTTGCCCCAGGGGCCAGGTCTGAACGTGTTTGGGTGAACGGCATCAGTGGAGAAAAATTAAACTCTTAAATGAATACTTTCGGCCTCAGTGATTAGAGGTAATTAATAATGCAGGTGAGAAAGCGTACTTACTCTTTGAGCACTCTAAATTAAGAGAGACCTATTTTTCAGAAAGCTGTATCAGATCACGTCTCATTGTTCCATGGGATTTTTGGATTTGAGGGAGTGCTGTTGATGAGATCTTTTAGGCATGGACTTAAAATCAGTTTGCGAGTGTCTGCACAGGCTTTGTGAACAGTGTAGAGTGGACCCTGGGGAGAAAAGTCTTCCCTGTTTTCCTACAAAGAGCTGCTTGACGGTTGGCCCTGCCTGTTTTGGGAAGGGGAGGTGGTGTCTGTGGGAAGTTGGGGAGGGAATGGCTGAGATTCCTCAGAGCTCTCGCAATGTTGTGGCAGGCCCCACCGACCCTGGTGAAGACAGTATCCAGGGCTGCAGCACATTGGTAGCAGGCCTGTGGAGAGAATGTTTCATTTAAGTATTGTTTACTTTTTATTCCTTATGTTTTTCTTCAGATACAGCACATGGGAGCCAGAGGATCATATCTTGGACCCTCGCCTGGTAGTGGCTTATGAAGAAAAGTAAGGGCACGTGTTCTTTCTCTCCCTGAACACAGGAAAAGAAATACTGTCTTTATTTCATTATATGCATAAAGTGCCCTGTTGTCCCTGCTTAAGTCAAAGATGAGATGTATAGCAATGAATCCTGCTTGATTTCGGTACCCTGGTGTTGGTTGAAACAGACAAGACAAGGTTAAAGCAGCTTTGACTGGCACTGTTCAGGAAATGAGGCCAAGAACTGGCAGCATTGAGCCAAAGAACCATCAGTCTCAGGTTTTAATCAGGTTCAGAGCTGGACTGGAGTGATGTGAGGTGATAAGTTTCTCTAACCCCATCCTTCATCAGCTGTGTCAGAGAAATTCCCCTATTGCAAGGCTTTCTTTCACTCCTACAGAAAGCAATTCTGGGATGTTTTCCAAGCCCACCCTGGTCACCATTGGGTTTTAGTGAAGTAAATTGAGGGAGATGTGCTGCAAAAGGTTGAAGTTCCAGCTAGGTTTTATGCTGTGGTATTTAGTATTTAGTTTGATTTATGTTCCTCTTTCACAGGGAAGAGAGAGACCGTGCATCAGGGTACAGGAAAAGAGGCCCCAAACCAAAGCGCCTCCTACTGCAGGTAGCCTCTTGCTCTTCTGTGTATTCCTAACTCTTAGCTGCTGTGCTGCTCCTCTGCTCTCAGGGAGGTGGGAATTGTCTGTTTGCAGTTGCATGGACAGAACTGGAGGTAACAAGCAAACACACCACCATGAAATCAGTGGTTAGGCAGATAGTTTTAACCTGTTAGCTGGAGAGCTAGCTAATCTGTCTTTAAAAGGGCAAAACAAAATAAAACAACAGCTCTTGCCCTCTGAACTGGAATTTTATAAATCAAGGGCCTGAGTGGTTGCAGGTTACTTGGTTTGTTTGTTCTTTTAATTTTATGCTGAGCTTGGATTTTCCATCAAGTTAAAGGTAGCCTCTGTTTGGAAGCAGAGTTTCAGCATGTTCCCAAGCAAAGCAGCCAGTCCTAGGAAGCAGGTATTAAGAAGAGCTGAGCTGGCAGTTGAAGAGTTGAGAGAAACGGCATTGTAGAAGCAGCACACCTTAGAAGCAGCTCATCTAGATGTTCAGGGGCTGAACAAAGAATAGTTCCCTGGCTCCCAGGGGGAGCCCTACCTGTATGATCAGGTGTCCACTCGGACGCTTTCTGTGTTTCTTGGCAGAGGCTGTATGGCATGGACTTGAGGAGTGCCCACAAGGGAAAGGAGAAGCTCTGTTTCTCTCTTGCACGGAGGTTTGGAGGAGGAGACAGTAGCCTGCCAGGGACCAAGACGGGTCAGGCAGAGTTCCCAGAGAAGACTGGGGGAGCAGTCCTGCCATTTTCTCTCCGGAAGCAACGCAAAAACCAGAAGTACCTGCGACTGTCAAGGAAGAAGTTTCCCCGCATGGCGAGCCTGGAGAACCGAAACTGCAGGCATGAGTTTTTCCTGAATGATGCAGTGGGCCTAGAGGCCAGGCAGGGCCCTGAAGACTGGGAGGCCATGCAGCACACCAGCAAAGAAGGTAAGGCCAGACCCCCCTTGGCTGTGAAGTTCTGGGGCGTGTGAAGGATAGTCTATGTCCTTTCTCCTTGGTTATCTCCTTCTGGGATTGTGGTTTAGGTCAGGTTCTCAGAGCAGCTCTCACTGGCTCATATTATGGCCCTCTTGTTTGCAAGGTTTCTTTCTTATTTGAAGAGCACAGATTAATCTGATTTTTTTGGTGCTGTTGCCTCTCTGTAGTCCTACATCCATGATGCCCTCCCAGTGTTAGAAAACGTGCAGACGATACCGCAAGTTTTTCCCTTCTTACAGTTTCCTCCCAGCAGAGGTGACACACAGGTGTGATAGTGATGAACTCTGCCTCTGTCCACATATCCACACATGCTCAGCCTGCTGCTTGGCAGCACTCCTCTCATAGTGGTTGTCTGAGAAGTGTACAGAAATGGCACTAGGGACTCATAATGCACTCCCCTGCCCCCTCCTTCCCTCTCCTCTCCACACCCCTCTAAAGCCTCTTGCTGTAGAGCTGTGTGAGGGGGGGATGAGAGAGGATGGTACCTCCTGCCTGATCCCACTGAGTAGGCAGCAGGAGTGTGGGCATGGGAGATGTCCAAGCACATTTGGCATTTTGGGGAGGGATACCAGCATCTTGTGCGGGAGGGCTGTGGGATGTGTGTGTTGCTCTCAGTTACCAGGGAAACTCTATCCTTGCATTATTAGAGCTTCTGAAGGCGTAGCTTTCCTGAGGAGTGGAAAAACGGGGCTTATGCTGCTTGTAGTAGCTGAGGGAATCCTGTTACTCCTTGCTAGGAGTAGCTGTTAGCCAGGCTGGATTAGGCAAGATTTTAGGGAGAGGGCTGTGTTCTGGGAATCAAAGCTATTCCTTCCTTTCTGAGAGGGACTGGAACAGTGCCCAGAATGCAGGGAGGCAGCAATGGGAGTAGCACAGAGGAGCCCAGTGTTACATCCTGGCAGTGGACAAGTGTATGGGGCTGTTCTCCCCTAGAAGCGTGGGGCTCTAAAACACTTGGGAATCCCAAGAGTGAGTGTCACTAGAGAATTGTGAAACTGTTTGTGTTCTCCCCTTGACATATGGCCTGCAGAGTATCCCAGTTATTGTTAGGGGGGATTGGACTCTTTCCGGGGTGAAGGTAGGCACCCCAGATGCTTGAGACAGAAGCCAGGAAATATACTCTTAATGGAACTTGTTCTTTGCCCAGGTTGGGATCACAAGGGATACAGTACAGGTAGAACGACAGGGAGAGGATGTGTTTTCCTTTCCCTCTCTCTACTTATGTGACAGTCTCCGGGGGCTGGGAGGAAGTGGGGCTTTAGGTGGCAGAAGACTGATAATTATTCATACAGTTAGAAAGTGCTAGGGTGCTTGGGTGTCCTGCATGGAGCTGTCTGGGAGCAAAGGAAGGGTATGAGAAAGGGGAAGCAGGCTTTCCACAGAGCGCTATTGGTGGATTTTTGAGAATCACACCCAGGCTGCATTGCAGGTGCACTATGAAGGCAAACCCTCCATTTTGGATCCTTTTGACTCCTATATGACTATCTGAAGAGGGTGTGTAAGAGTTTTTGATTTTTGACTTTTCAGCAGGGTAGGGCATTTAGAAGCAGGTGAGCTCACAGCGGGATGAGTGTGCTTTGGTGACACAAAACCGATTAGGGGTTGAGATGGGATGCGAGGTATCAGGGAATTGGTTAGATGAGCTGAGTGGTTTTGCCTGGTCTTTTGACCTTTTTGACCTTTTGGCTGCTCTGATGCCACTGTGTGTCTGGACACATTTGCTACTCTTTCCTTTTCCCATTATGTCCTGCAGTGATCCTCCATTTTCCCTTAGCCTCCGAGGGGAGGGTTTGCACATGCTTTTTCTTGCTTTGTACGTGCAGACTCAGGCTGATTTCACCTACTGTTTGTCAGAAAGGAGACCCTTTTTCCATCCTTCCCTTCCCTCTCTTCTTCCTCCCTCCTTCTCCCTCACCTTCCTCTCACTAACATGCTCTTATCTACCTTTCCTTCTGCAGCAGATGTGGATGCCAGTCTCCCTTGGATCCCCACTGTGCCCCCCAGTGAAGTGACAGTGACAGACATCACGGCAAACTCCATTACCGTCACTTTCAGAGAAGCACAAGTGGCTGAGGGCTTCTTTCGAGACCGGAGCGCACAGTTCTGAATCTCTTGTTTGCAGTGCTCCCCAAAAACAGTGCTTTTAGGGTGGGGCTAGGGAAGGGTTACGTTATCCCTTAAGAGAAAAAAAAATCCAAAATGTCTCCTCTTAAAATGTTTACAGAGACTTTTTTTTTTTTTCTCCTTTTTCCCCATTCAGATACGCAAAAAAGGGCAGTGTAGGGGGTGTGTGTTTGTCACTGCTTTGTCCAGCTGAAAAACTGACAGCCCTTTCCCTGGCAAAGACTCCCCTCCTTGATGTGAAAGCAGCAAGCTGAACAATTCGCCTTTTATCCCGTCAAGTGGCGGCAGCTGCATTTGTGGGGAGAGGGCATGTGGAGGTGGAAAGAGAGCTGGATCTCTAGCCTGCCGCCTTGTTCTGCAATTGATATCCCTTGGATAAAGATACATCTCTGTGCATTGCTCTTCCCACCTTCCTCCTCCCTCTCTTCCTGCAGCAGTGAGACGCAATGGATCCTACCTGTGTAGATAACTCCAGCCTGTTTAAGACTTTCTCTCCAGTGCTGTTTTCCCTGTGGCCTGCTGTCAGGACTTCAGAATCCTATTTGCCTGTCTGTGGTAAGTCAGTCTTTGCAGCACGGGTCTGTATAGACAGCAGAGGTTTCTCCCTTTGATTGTTGATCATGCGGAAAGACTGAAATGCATCTCTGAAATCTAAATTGGCAACGCAAATTCAATTTGCCCTCATTAAAAGCTCAGAAACCCAGCGTAGTCAAGACATACCATTCTGTATATGCTAAACAGGATTTCCAGGCTCGGCTCTGCTGTGTGAGGAATGTGTTATAAAAAGTGGGGTCTTCTTACCCTTTGCCAAATTCAGTATTAATAACAAATGCTGCCCTGGATCTGTGGTAATAAGTTAGTTGAAAACTGACTCCTCTCCCCTGGGAGGAGGGGCTAATAGGACAACTGAAGCATTGCCTGGCACTGCAAAGATATTCAAAAAACTGGCACAGGCCCAGGACACAGGAATTGGACAGAACTGAGCTAGAAATGGACCTTGATTAGCAGCAAATTCTGGTTTTGGATCCCATGGAGAGATCCAAGGTAAACAACATGTGGGGAAAGCATGTATTAGATTTGAAGAGGGGAAAAAAATTCTTAATTCTTAGCAATGAGAATTCTTGGATTGTACTGCCTGAGTGATATTCTTCCATGACTCCAGTCTCCTCACAGTATCTGTGATCCTATTTTACTGATAGGAACTTCCCCTTGGAAGGCTTAAAAATCTTTGCCAAGGAAAGCGGTCTGCATTTCAATAGACCCTGCCTAATCTTGCACTTAAAAATGCCTTGTGCTGGACTGCCTGTGACACTTTGAGGTTTTTGAAGAATTGCTGTATTTTGAGTTGGTAATTTAGCATAGCATCTGTTCTTGCACATGCATGTTCTCTTCCATTTTTAAAAGCAAATTTTATTTAAATAATTTTTAAATATAGACCTTTTCCTATGGAAAGCAAGAAAAGTAAGCTAGTCTGAAGTGGGAACTGCAGGACAGAGTCTGCAGGGTAACATTGGCTACTGTTGTGATTTCTGTACTCAAATCCTTTGTTTCCTCACCCCACCCCACTTGAAGCATCTCTTGTATGCTGTATTTATTCTAAATGAAGCTATGAGCCTTCTCAGCTGTGAGACCACCTGTGGAAATCCTCAGTGTGTTCCTGTGAGGGGCTTGGCTGCTGGCCTGCAGAATTTTGGAGCTCTGGGGCTTCTGGTCCTCCAAACATCTACTTTTTGCAAAGTTCTTGGACAGCCCCTATGGCTTTTATTAAAAGCAGGTTTTACCTCATATGGGACATGGCAGCTCAGTGTAAATTTAGGATTTGCCCTTCCATCTCAGAGCTGTTTGAGCAAGCCTTCCACTGCATCACAGCAGTTTCAGGACCTCTGGGAAGGTCTTGAATTTTTGGACTGATCTTTTGTCTCTCAAAAGAAGTAAGATGGGAGTTTTATTATGGAGAAATTTGAGAGGGTGAGAAGTGGAAGCTGGGGAGGGGGGTGGAATTACAAGGTAGGAGGAAGAGTGAGTGGGGGAAATAAGCTTACAGTAGCTAGCAAGGGCAACCTGATGAGGTAAGCATGCAGGCGCAGGATGTTTGTTGAATGTGGGTGTCCAGAGCGAGGCTTCTGTGTCTGGAGTTGTACCCTCTTTTGCAGGATGTTGGGTCAGACAGTGTTGTTATCATCACCCCCACACACACCCCCTCTTCCCAACACCTGCCAAATGTGCTGAATACCTGCATCTCTCGTGTGTTGTGGGCAGTGGACACACCAAATGGCTGAGTCCACTCTTATGGGTTGTAGCAGGTCAGGTAGTGATGGTTGCAGAAGCATAATACTTTAGCTCTTTTTAAAAAATGTTTTGAACTGCAGCTCACCCTGATAGATCTTTGTGGCATTTATAGGATCTGCCTTCTCTATTCTAATGCAGAAACTGATGCCTTTGTCATGTCTTCATCTAAGAGTACAAACACACCAAAAAAAGCTTCCTATTTACTAAGTTCCTGGCTTTGGCTGACATCGGAAGCAATATCAATCCTGCGGCAGGAAAGAGCTTGTCCTAATAAACTAGATTTCCATCTTCTGCTTTTCTTTCCACTCGCCAGCTGACACTTCTCAACACTCTGTTTTGGCATTTTTCTTTAAACATATTTTCTTCCTCTTGCAGTGGAGTTTTCAAAGACCTGTGGTGGTCTTTCAAAGACGATCCACCCACAGCTTCATATCTTAATCATTTTTTGGATCAGGCTAGCTTGTGTTCTGCTGGTGACTAATCATCTCGCTGCACAAAGTGTGGAACAAAGTACCTGGCTGCGATGCTGCTTTGTGTCAATGAGGAGTTAAGTATAATCGAGTTAAGACGCAACAAGCTGCGTGTGCGTGGGTTTGGGGGAGGGGGGTGTGAAGAGGAGTTTGTGGTAGGAAACTAAGCAGTTACTTCGTTGGCGTGGACTTTTTTTTTTTTGACATTCATGAATTCTTGTTTATCTTAAAGATCTTTTTGAGAAGATTTTTCTCCTGATCTTTTTAAAAAAACGTGGCTCTGTTCCACATTGTCTGGTGACATATTGTTGTAAATTTCCTTGCTAGAGCTGGTCTTCAGGGAGTTTAAAATTAGCTTTATTCCATCTCTGCAGGTGTAGAGATGTATGGGGGTTTTAGTAGGGATGGCAAGAGAAGTTGTCTGGGTTTGTCTTTTCTCCCCAATACTGTCCTTCTGCCAGTTCAACCCAAAACATGAAAATTGAATTGGGACCTCTTGTACTAACATATCGTGAAGATCAGATGCTGTGCTCGGAGCTTTGTTAAGCATTCCGTTTGATTAGAAGAGCCAGAATAGCATCCAGCTGAAGCTGAGTTTAATAATTCTATTTGAAGCACAAGCTGAGAATAGAAATGGGCTAACTCTCCCATACCTCATTTGGCTCCATGGCTGTAAACAAGAAAAACAAACTTCAGCCAGTGGAAATACTGAACTGTACACAAGAAACAACCTTCTCAGAGAAGAACGGTTCTAATAGTCATTCTTAGAACTGTTTCCATGTGAGAATTTACCAGCAGCGTTTGGGAAACAGAGGTTTTTATTTCATAAATCTCAAAGTGAACTCACTGTATATATGACAGAACTGAGGGGCTTCATGAGACTGGAAAGCCTTTATTGTTAACACTGTGTTTAAAAAAAAACATATGGAAAGTGAGGTATATATTCCTCTGTGGGGTATATTCCTCTGTTCCTGAATGGTTATAAACTAGATGTTATTCTCTGATATATAAGTGATGCCTTGGAACAGCAAGTTTTAACGCATAAATAGTGGCATTAAGTAGCCTCGTAGCTCCTGCATGCTCCTTATTGTCTCGCATTTGCTTGGGGGCCCTTCTGCTTGTGAAGTCAGACCAAGGTGATTTTTTTTTTCTTTTTTTTTCTCCTTTTTTTTTTTTTTTTTTTCCTAAGCAAGGCCAGGATATTTTTGTGAGAACACCCAAAAGCAGTTCCGTTTGCCAAAATAAGCCCAAATTTGTTAGTGAATTGACTCTTGTTTATGTCAGAGCCTCAGACGTAGAGAAGCTTATTGAGAAATGAATGGCTTTTTTTGTTATTAGTGTTGTGAAACTGTCCGGAATTGTTCTTCTGGTGTTTTGTGACTGAATGTATAAAATTGTTTGTTCACCTCACAGGGGGCCCTTGGCCCCAGTATTGTTTCCTGCTGTATGCCAGCTAGTGCTGCTTGATGGTTTCACTGGAATAGAGAAGGGAGGCCTCACACAGGTCAAAAAATAGGCAGGGTAGCTCATGCAGGACCCTCTGTGGTAGCCACAACAGAGGCCAGGGTGCGGAAGACAGCGGGGGCTGTCAGCCACATCTGTGTATTAAGCAAAGTCAAGTCTACCACCACCTCTCCACCCCTTCCTCTCCTCTCAAGCTTTAAGCTTTTGTCTTCTGAAGTAGGGAAAGTGCAAAAACCTCCTTTTATAAAGCTAGTTGGTATCTATCCATCTTCTCTTCCTCCCTGGCTTACCTGCAGCCTAGGAAGAAGAGGGCAGTGGGCCTTTCTGGGAAGATAGTAGGGATAGCTGCCAGTCAGGGAAGATATGGATAGAGTTGCTTCAGAGTTGCTCTCATTAGGTGACTGAGGACAGGCCTGGGTGAGCTGGTAGTTGAGAGAGAAGGTGTGTTAGAAACAAAGAACTTGTAGTGAAACTGATCCCTTGCATCTGCTGTTGTAGTTCTGCGAGGGCCTTGTGGACAGGAGGTGGTGATTGCTGCATTTATGTATCTGTCTTCTACCATTTGGGAAGGCAAGGGAGATGTGTACATTAACAGCTTGCATAGGGAATGCATAGCGTTGGCACATACAGGTAGAAGGCACATGTTGCTTTTGCCATGCCTGTCATAAGGGTTTTCCTGAAGGGTATAATAAACTTGTAGGAGATGCTGGGAGTTGCAGAGAGATGTGGAGCTCAGTGGGAGCACATAAGGGCTGACAGGGAGGGGATGGATTGCTACAAAGTCAGGTTGGGGTAGAAGCCTGGCTGCTGAGGTTGCCTCTGTCTGCTGTGGGCTGCCCTGCAAAGATGGTAGGGGTTCTTCTCCGAGAGTGCCAGTCAGATGTTGAAAGGGAGAGCTCCTACGACTGCTCCGAACCTCTGTCACAGGTTATTTCTTTACTGGGATAGCAGAGTTTTGGCTGGGAGGGGGATTTTGGAGGAGGAGGTGGAAAAACCTTTTTTTATTATTATTGCTTTTTTAACCAGAAAATGTAGTGTCAGCACGAAGAAGCTTTTTGCAAATCTGTCAAAATGTTAAGTAGCTTTTTTTTGCTTTTAAATCTGAAGTATGTTTTGAAGCACTTTGGAAATGCAAAGCACTAGGAGTGCTAAGTACTCCTTATCGTCTGTCTAAAAGTGGCATTTGAAAAGCAAAAGATGTATCTGTTTCAGGCTGCTGGCTGCTCCTTATCATTTTTCCAGAGCTGCCACCCAGCCCTTTGCCTCCCTCCCATGGCTGGAGGGGAGCGTGCTCTGCCATGCCAAGGAACGGAGGGCTCCCTGAGGGAGTGAGAGAGACCTGCTAAGTCCCTCACTTGCCTTCGGGGTGCAGGTTGGCTTCCTCCCTCCCCACCTCCTTTGACTGAAAGGGAAAAAAGAAGTTGAGTTTCAGTTGGTGTGGTCCTAGTCTGGAACTATGACCATATCTTCCAGCTCCAGAGACGTCTTCATAGAGTTTCCTGTCTGAAAAATTGCACCTTATTAGCTTAATTGAGGAACAGGGAGATGTCTGTCCTTTTGCAGGGAGTGGGGAGAGGAAGGGAGGGTGAACCAGGAGCTGTATTCAGGAGCTGCTGGAATTTTCCAGAAGCCGTTTCCTCACCTCATCTCCAACAGAATGGCAACAAAAGAGATAAAATAATTTAGGTGAAGCTTTTGTTCTGTGTATGTCAAGAACCTTTTGAGCAGACTAAGGGGAGAGTCCTTACCTAGCCAGCTCTACAGCGTGGGGGGACGACACCCCAGTTCTTTCACTGGGTTTTCAGCACCAACCTTTTCCTTTGGCGTACACACATCGTTCAGGCTCTTTTGCACACCGATTTGGTGTGCTCCCTTTCTGTTGGGGGGGGAAGATGGGAGATGACAGGGTCAGTTAGAGGGGAGGGTCCCTGATATTTTTGTTCCTGTCTCTTCAGTTGTTGCTGTTGTTCCTGTCAGCACGCTAGAGTATCGGAGTCTTTGCACACAGAAAGCTTCCTTTTGCACAGAATGAGCTTCTAGCTTTTGTACAGACTAATTGAATGTATTTGGGGAGGGGGGGAAATAGGGAGTAAACCAATTCCAAACAAACCAATCAGAGTATAATGCCTTTTCTGAGCAAGTATGTGGTGTAAAAGGAGGTCGTAATAGCAAAGGGAGGGCAAGCTCAAGTATAATTTGACACAAAGTGTGGTTTTATTTTTGTACTGATATGGATAAGAGACTGTACAGCATCTATTTATTTAGATGATTTATGTGGTAAATGTTGCAAACAAAATTATTAAAATATTAAATATGAGAACTGACATTTACCTCTTGGTCTGTTTGTGTGGTCATTTACCTCCCCTTGCTTTAATTCTACAGCTGAATTATTTTCCGCCAGTCACTTCTGTTGGTATAAACATGCAGTGCAGCTGGAAAAAGAATGGAAAATGTGCGTGCATGCATGAGAAAGATCAGTAAAAAAGGATCGATGAAGAATGGAGCCTGCAAAAGGCTGTTTCTGACATTACTCATTACTTTGGAGGAGGTCAGGTTTTTATTAATTTTTAACCCACTGGGTAAATTAGAGCTGTACAGAGGTGACCTGGGACGATTGGTCTTTGATGGATTATAATTTGAAGAGGAGAACGCCGATGTCAGGGTGACTGCTGCTCTGGGTTTAGGGAGTTCTGTGCATCCTTGCACAAGGCTGAGGAGCCAGGACAGTTCTGCCAGCATCAGGAGAGTGCTGGTGTGCCAGGTATCGTGTGTCTCTTGTGGAAATGGAGAAAGCCTGAGGCAAGGCCTGGGCTGCCAGGCACGCTCCACACTGGTTGCGAGCAGGGGAAGCAGCTTTCCTCCAAGCCAAAGCCTCCAGTAGGTTTTCCTGCAGGGCTTCCAGGGACCTCTTCAGGAGCAAAGCTTCTCCTCGGCAGAGTTTGGCCCCTGGTTCACCCCAGGTAAAGCAGGGCTTAGCCGAGGAGCCTGAGTACTGGAACTGCCGATACTCCTTGGAGAGAATCCCAAATGTCAGTTAGTCCACTTCAGTGTCTGACTTGCTCCCTCGAGACGTGTCCCTTTCCATCCTCTGTGGAGGGGGAGGATAAGCTGTTTATGGAGGTACCTCAGCAGGTGAATGGGGCTGTCTGAGATGCCTTTAATAGAGGTGAGGTGGGGGTGAGCCCTGCACCTGAGCACAGCTGTGACGTCAATCACAGAAACATGCAGAGCAAAAGCAGAGGGGGATGGGGTGCATTTCCTGAGTTGGTCATGGCTCGAGGCAGCGTGATTAGGTTTTGCCCATGTTACCAAAGCTCTGTCAGCATGCTCGCCTTGAGCCAGGGCGGCTGGAGCTGAGTGATGGCGTTAGAGCAGGACTCCAGCCAGCCACTTACTCTTTGGCAGCAGCAGCAGCAAGCGAGTCAGGTGAAGTTGGAAGAAACTGCAGTGCAGAGTTACGGGAAAGCCTACTCTGGAGGTTGTGTCTTCCTACCCCTGCCAATGCTGCAGAAGCTGCCTGGCAGTGGAAATTCACAACAGCTTGTCCTTTCGCATGCATGTGTTGGTTGGATTAAAGGTTAATCTGGGCAGAACTTCTATTTTTTAATAATCTGTTGCTATGCCACCCCTCCGATCCATGCAATGCAGCCAGCTTGCCTTGCCCAGCTCTCCTTTTTGGATGCCTGAGAACAAGGCCACTTGGTGAAAGGGGAACCACACGGTTTGGGCAGCTCAGTGTTCTCTGAGAAGCACAGGGTGAAATGCAGTGTGTGTGACCCCTGCAATGGTAGTCACTGCCTGTCCATTCAGTGCCACAGGTCTTCCCTGTTCTTGGTCCTTCTCTTTCCAGCGTTTTGCTCACCAAGCTACTGTTTTTGAATCAAGAACGCAATAAACGTGGGGGACTTGTGTAATGCAAACAGCAGCCTGGGCAGCTGGGCCTGCTTTTGGCCCAGGGATATCATAGCACCCCAGCAGTGTAAGCACAGCATAAACCCCATAGGCCTTGTCCTCTCTCTGCTACATCAAAAAGTTAGCGGGCTGGAGGGATGGTTCTGACCACTGTTTGGGTCATGCTGAGCCACCTGTACCCAGCGTGTGGGGAGATACTTGGTCAGCTCCGAGGAATCTGCCTTTGATTGTGTGTTCCAGAGTTGCAGCAGTGAAATCTCAGCCCATTTTGACCTGCACGACCATAGGGTGGCTGGGTGCGCGCAGCTGCGCCTGCTCCTGGGGTAGGTGAGGGAGTGACCATTTCCTTACCGAAATCTGCCGCTTCTGAGAGTGACCTCAGTGGAGCAAACAGCACTGGAGTCAGCTGATCGACCCTTGGAGCTGTTCTCGTGGAGGTAAGCACTACTATTCCTGACAAGTCCATAGAAAATTAGCCTGGAGGCAGCTACTGGCTTTGAGCAGGTGAGTTTCCCATTATCCAGTGCCATTTAAAAGATACATAAAAACATTCTTGCACCTGCTGCTCCGCGGGCAGTGGTTCTGGTGAGAAAAGTCTTATTGCTTCTCCAAAGCCTATTGGTTCCCAGTGCTAGCAAGAAGTGCTACGGTTTATCCTATGACACCAGAGTCTTGCAGACAGTGAGGTGACAGAAACATGTTTTACTCCAGTGTCTGTAGTGAACAATAGCTTTTCTGGAAGAGCCGTCTTCCCAAGTGGTTTTTTTTTTTTTTAAGCGTTTTACTGGAAATGTGAATGAAACAAAGGAAATGCCCAACAATGCCCTGAGCAGCTGGATATTCTGCTACTATTTTGCTTTGTGAGAGTAAAAATTAGATGAAAGTGTTAGGCAATACCTGTGCAATGGCAGCTTGCAGTGATTTGAGCAGTCGCTGAGGCTGGAAAGAAGGTTCTGCTGACAGGTAGAAGGAGAAAATAACTAGAAAGAACACATGGAACTCTCTGAAATGCTACTGCCCCTTCTGGTCCATGGATCAGGGGTGCCTTGTGCTCCTGCCCTGAGGCAAGGTGTGCTGTTCATGACCTATGTCTGTTGCTGGACAAGGCCACCAGTCTTGGTTGCTGCACATGTGTTTATGTAACAATGTAAGGACTTTTGCCCCTTTTGGGTTTAGGGGTGGCTGCTTTTTAGGGTGGATGATATTGTTGGTTGAAGGTTCAGTTGCTTGACACTCAGCTACAGGTGTCAAAGGAGTCTTTTAAACAAAGTGAACAGTAACAAATATGCTAATTTAAATGTGGATGGTGTTAATGAACACTTAATGTGCAAAGTTAAAAAAGCGAAAAGCAAAACACAATGGGTGTGATGAACTTGCTCTTTTGAAGTCACCTTCAAGCGTATGAAGAATTGGGATTAAGATAAGTGGCATCTGAGGAAACAAGGCGGTTCAGAAGAACTTCTCCCACTCTTAGGTGAGAGTCTCAGGTTTTAGTTCTTGCCTGGCCCATGAAGCCAAACACCTGAGAAAGGGCCTCTTACAGCCTATTCTGGAAGCGAGGGGTATGATCTAAATGCAGAATTATCAGTGGTGGAGCACGCTGTGGTTCAGTCCCTGACCACAGAAACACCTCAGTTCTCTGAATTGTTCGTATCTCGTGGACCAGGGTCTACGTGACTGTCCATTTGCTGTCTCTGTCAGTATTCAGCAATCTCTCTGTTCACCCCCCTTCAAATGGGGACACAGTGGTGGGGATTAGGTCCTCTCCTGAGTCACCTTTCCTCTAGGCAGGGAGCTTGTGGTGGCTGCAACATTTCAACTGCTAAGGTGAGAAAGAACAAAACACTGTGATGGATCTTGGCTGAATCGCAGGTAGTGAGGAAAGCATTCGTTTTCCTACCTGCCTGTCTTGACTTTGGGAATTCCATCCCTGCTAGTACTGATATTATAGCCATAATATAGCCGTTTCTGGAATATCCTCCTTCTGGGTGAAACCCCTGAGCCAGAGGTGGAAAGGGAAGATGAGTACAAGTAGAGAAAGGGTTAGTGAAGGCCACAGGGGCTGTGAGTGCTTTCTGGCAAGCCAGCTGAGGAACAGGTAGAAGAGGAATGCCAGTGCTCTGTAGGTACCTGCTGAGGTCACGGTGGGTTGAAAAAGAGCAGCAAAAGCAAGTTGGACATTGCCTATGGCCCTCATCACAGCTCCCACTTTTTCCAGAGGATATCTGAAATGCACCCTTTCCTCACCCAAAAAAGTGGTGAGAATTAAAGCAGGAGAACAGGCTGTGCCAGGTGGTACCTCCAGGTAAGGGAGGACCCTGAGCTCCACATGACAACAGCTGCAGGGCTGTAAGCTTCCATTTTGAGTCCCAGAGAATGATTTTTGACTGAGTTTTTTGTTTCGTTGTCTTTATAGTGTTGCAGTGTGGAGCATAGGCCTGAAAAGACCCCTGCCAGAAACAAGTCAGGGCATGTCAGAGCTAAGTTAGGTCTGCTTAGACATTAAGGCTGTGCTGACCTAAAAGGAACAATAGGTCAGGTAGAGCCGAGACAAGAAAAATTTGCAACTAGAGATAGGATGTAATCTGGTGGTGGGATTTAATTATACGATGTTTACAGTTAGGTAAATGGATTAATACTTGAATATAATCAAAGTGATATGCAAGTTTATGTTTAACTACTATGTCTCCTGTGAAATGTAAAACCAATCATGTAACCTTGCTTGGAAAATAGTATAAAAGATGCGTTCAAAATGTGGGTCTGTGGGTACCTGTCTTGGGACAGGAGTCCACAGGAACCCCGGGCCCTGAATAAAGCACCGCATAAACTGACACTCTGTGAGTTTGTGTTTGGATTACGGGCAGCAGTTTTGGCGACCACGAAGGGACCTCCGAGGGACGCTGGGGCGGATCCACGAGCTGATCGACTCCACGCCGGCGGCCAGGTAAATTCCTGGGGAGGACATCCACCCGTGACCGGCCCCGCGCCCGTCGGACAACCATACGCGGTAAGCCCGGAGGTGCTTTATTCTAATATCGGTGGTGAAAGCCTACCTGTTAGACGGGACTGTGTATACCCGCTGGGCTGGGCGAAAAAGAGGAATTTGGGGAAGCCTAGGCGCTAGCCAATAAGTTGCAAGCAGAAAGCTGCACTGAAGCTAGCACTTGTCGAAAGGGGAAAATCGGCAAGATTTGTTGTGGAAGTTTGCTAGCTGCAAAGCGCCGCAAAGCAGCGCAGAGCTAGCTCTTGTCGAAAGGGGAAAATCGGCAAGATTTGTTGTGGAAGTTTGCTAGCTGCAAAGCGCAGCAAAGCCGCGCAGAGCTAGCATCTTGTCGAAAGGGGGAAATCGGCAAGATTGATTGTGGAAAAGGTTGCTAGCGCCGAGCTAGCATTTGCCATAAACAGGGAAATTCGGCAG